GTTTTTTCAATTTATGTGAGTTTAAAGAGATCTCAGTGATGCTTAAAAAAGAATAAATTTAACATGAAACAGTGATTTTAAGTCTGGTTAGTCTGACTCTAAGTCTGATTAGTTAGAGTGATTAAATTAACTAGGTGTATACCGTAAAATACGTTGATTTTTGTCTAAATTTTGATTTTTGATTTCTGTAAGATTTTCTTATTTTTTATTAACCCTCAATACCGAAATAATCCCGGGATCCCGGGATTGAATAAATATAATCCCGAAATCCCGGGATTAGAAATAAGGACCGGGATCGAATTCCCTAATTATATTGTATTGGGTTATAATTGTAGGAAAATAACAACTGTCTTAGACTGTTATTAATTTTGAAGATTTTATAATTACTATAATAATGAAATTTTTGAATTATTAAATTATTTATTATTTTTGTTATTGAAATTGTATAATATTTTAAAAATAACATAAACGGATTTTTCTTTCGTTTTATGATAATTATATAAAACAGTATTAAACAAACAAGGTTTTAATTATTTGACAACACTTTAACATATAAAGGATTTTTCTTAATATCAGGATTAAATATCGTTTTCTAATCCTGTTCGGTTCTGTTCAGAATCATCAGGTCTGATGTGCCCAAATTAATGATCAATTGACCCACAACGATGTTTTCAGAAGAAAAAGTCCAATTTTCAAATTCAAAAATAAGTTTTTTTTCGACGTTCTTGACAAATGAGGTTTACGCGAATTGGTCGAACCATTCATATCCTTTTCAAAAAAATTTTAACATCACCCAACACCTGAAAGGATCACTGTGATCCTTCGTCTTTTGTCTCGGTTTCGTTATATCCAACGTTGACGACTGGATGCTACTCGCGCTGTACAAATGTAACCTTTGACTTGACTACAGGATAACTCAGTCGTGTTCAGTTCTGAATGATACGGTGGTAAACATAATATAGCGTGACCTGCTTGTTTTAGCCGTGTCATTGACACGATAACTCAAATCCTGCTTCTTTATTTTCACTCTCTCCATTAGTTCCTGTTTCGGTTTTTCTGCATATCAGGAAATTCTTTTCTCAGTTAATCAGTCACAAAATTTTGTATTTTCTCCACGAAGATTTGGGCAGATTCTCATAGAAAACTCTGATTCCTCGCATTATCCATAACGTTATAAAAATCACATATGATAAATGTAATAAATGTTTCGAACTATTTCTCGAAGCAAGGGCCGTTCGTTTTCTGATGATAATCACGATTACCATTTGATGCAAAAAGTAGAAGAGAGTGCCATTCGCAAATTCATTTTCATTGTCTTCATAGACAAAAATTAAGTGCTTTCCACTTGAAAATTTTTAAATCCATTTGACAACCCGCAAAGAAATGCATCTTGATAAGACTTCGCAGTTCTGTCTTTCTAACGTTTGGAAACGGCATGATCAGCATTAATGAATGAAAGTTCGGATGCTTTTGACAATATTGACGGATTGTTCTTAAGTAACCAAGCTTCCATGTGATCAGTTCTGTTGATTCTTCCAGTTTTGAATTCCGATTTCGACGATCAAACACAAATCCAAATTCCTTCAATACATGATGCAAATTTGGCTTATTAATATTTGGTAAATCGAGATCGTCATTTATTTCACGAAAAAATGAATTTAATGAAAGACTCATTTCTAAAGAAGAATTGATGAATTGTACTTCTAATGGCCAAGCAGACAAACTCATCATTCTTCTTTTCATCATGCGAATCTCTTTTTAACCGGCGACTCCACCCTTTCATCCGTTGACTGTCATTTTTCAGAGCAAATATGCTTGAAACTGGCACACCAATCAGAACTGGCCGTATTCTGGTCATCGTCTCTCGTCTCCGAGAGACGGTGTCTTCGTCACAAGCAGGTTACTGATTGGCTAGTCATTTGCTTATGTCTCGAGAGATCATCGGGTCTTTCCAAGCGTGATTCTGGACTCTCGTTTTTCAGAGACGAGCAGACACGTCTTTCGTCTTTTGCCTCGATTTCGTTATATCCAATATGGATGACTGGATGCTACTCGCGATGTACAATTGCATTCGAGAACGTTTTCTATCATGGGAAGGAATAATTCTTCTGATTTTTTTCATTGCCTACTCAGGAACACCACTGACTCTATTTTTGTAATGATCCTATATCAATTACTGAACTATTGAATATGCTGTTAATGTTATCCGTCTCTCTAACTATTTTTCGAAATATATTACCATTTAATTTCTCCTTAACTAAGTACGTACGGTTTTCTAAGGCTATTAAAATTTTTATTTGTTAAGAGACAACGTTATCCGACACATTTTGACATTACAATTTGAAAAAAAAACCTTATAAAACAAGAAACATCTCTGTCTAAATTACGTGCTTTGTTTGAACTCGTGCTTTCCTTACCACGTGATCTGTAATTTCGTATTCTGAATTTTCGAAAATTTTACAATTTCATTGGTTAAAATTCTATACTGTGTTGCACGCGCAGATAATCCGAACATGTATAATCAACCTAATACAGTAGAGCGTCGTTTATCCGAATCAATTGGGGACGGGTTGTTCGGATAACTTATTTTTCGGATAACCGATTATGTACGAAAAACATATTAACCTATCCCATGTTGAAATTTTTCTCCGTTGCGTGTCGCTTCGCGTTGAATTTTCGTCGATATTAAGCCTAATGTAAACTTTTTAAAATAATAATCGTGGCTTTTGTATCATTAAAANCATGTCCATTTATATATATATATATATAGATATAGATATAGATAACTGGAGAAAATAAAAACTGTTACTAAGGCTGTGCGATGACTTCATCGATAGATTCGTGCAATTATCAGCGATTGATCGATGATTTCGTCTGGCATAGAGAGATTTCCATAAATTACTTAACGCAAGGAACATCGCCTACGAAGCCTTACGCGGAATAGGGTGTTCTTTATACAGCGTTATTTAACTCTTTACAATGTCTGAGGTTAATGATTTCTTTTTGTAGGAAAATAAAACACTCAGTTCTCCTCATGATTACGAAAATTCAAATCAATTACGTTGTCTATTAATAAACAGCGGCATCAAGATAAGTGATTTGAATTTTCTTCTGTCATTGCAACGTAAATTATCTGGGCAACTAAAATTGGTGACTCACATGCGCATATGTTAAAGCTGGACAAAAATAGAACTAATTAAAATATTTTCCTCCAACAGGTGAGTGTTACAACAAGACTTTCAGTATAGGAGAAGGTGGTATTATGGAACCCCATTTAAATTATAGTGAATTGTAAACAAGGTATCATAACTACACCCACATTTTTTGTGCGGAAAGTACTGGTAGCTGTTAAACTAAATGTTCCTAATTGGATTTTTCGCTAGCATAACTATAAGAATGATTTTTGAAGGCTTCTGTAGAGAAAGTCAAAAAGTAGTTTTTGGGAAGCCGGATGGTAATATGGAACCCTATTGTATGTTTCAAAAAAATGCTTTAATGTATTCAAAAACAAATAGAGTAGGAAAAAAGTTACTGTAATTAATTACAAAATCATATACTCCAATGTATTATATTGAAAAAATGCTTTAATAATAAAAAATATGACCTCCATCAACAATATATATTCCACCAGCTCTTTTTCGATATTCTCAGGAATAATTGACTTTCTAACTAGTGTCGTTTTCACATATTGCTCCGGACGTATGTTTGTTTGCAAAAAGAGTTCACAAAATAGTTTTTGGCACCTCATAAAATTTTTCAGCTTTCTTCAGCTCCATTTCTTTGTCCCTTACCCTACTCGCAGCCTCTGCCATTTTCTCCTGGCTCCATGTTTGTCTCTTCGGGTTTTTCTTTGGCATGTTCAGCTAAGCATCTGAAAATTTTTAAAAAATCCAATTCGAAAATATCAGTTTAAAAGAACACATCTATCCAGAACAGTTTTTTAAAACCAAAATAACTTCAGAATTATACTACTTATTTATAGTTTTAGGTATTTGTTTCTAATTTTTTCATTCATCCACCACATACTTTTACAAAAATTATTCTATGGTTTGAATTTGTGGGTAATATGGAACCCCAGAGGAGTCGGGTTTCATATTAAAAGGACCAATTGGGTCCGTATTTCACGCATCGTCATCTTGGGTTAACTTAATTTCTGCCGACACCAAACATCAGACAGACTGACATGTACTCCTAGGCCTTTAGAACGTAACACATGCACCAGCAACATACAACTACATGATTTATATTTTAGAAGTAATAAAATTCACTTACCATTAAAAGGTTTGGAATTGCGAAAATCACAAACGTCCTGTTTTATTGAGCGCAACCGCATAACTCAAGTGAGAGGCGTCCTCCCCTTGCTATGGATGTCTGCCTAGTGCAGTTCAGCCACAGTTTGCTAGAGTTCGCATCTATTATCAGTCTGAAATGGAGGGGTTCCATAATATGTGTGGGTTCTATAATACCACTTTCTCCTCTACTGAATAAACCCGTGCGTGTACATTTCAATTTTTTAAAAATTCGAATCGTGTATAGTCCATATCGTGCCCATTATGGGTTCGGTCAGGCCCACAGTAGAGGTGGCTAAATCATGAGAGAGAGGGCTGCCCATAAATCTATTATGTTCCCGACCCGGAACGAATCGGATTCCCCAAGTTTGCAGGATAGAAGCCTAACGTATTAGCAAATCTTTTTCTACGATCCGTTGTTTTGATTGTTTTCCAATTATTATAATTATGTACTGGTACGAATTACGGCACAACATATGACTTCGTACATATTGAAATAAATGTTATTTAATTAATATTGTTATTTTATAAACATGATGAATATTTGAAAATAATCAAAATAATATATTTTTATTTAATGTAATTTTGCACTTTTATATTATATACTACTTGTAGTTTGAAATTTAAAATTTTACCTTTCTCTAAATCATTGATTGTAGCATCATCATCATCATTTTTCTTTTCAATTAACGCTATAGAATTTTCTAATTTTTGTATCTTTTTCTCTAATAACCCTTTCTCCTTTGCTTTATTATGAAGTTGATCTTTATAATTTAATAAAAGTTCTTCTCTTTTCTTAAAATTATATTTTCAATTTTCAATAAATTTATTTAGTTTCATTTTCATTTTAAATTATTAAACATTTACAAACCTTGTGTTCTGTAACAAGTTTTGCCAAATCATCTTGTAATTTTGCTATTGTGTTCTGATGTGCATTAAATATTTTTTTATCTTCTTCTAAAGTTGCATTTAATGTTTCATGTTTATTTTTTAAAATTTCCATTTGTATCTGAAGTAAGATCAGGAGAAAACGTCATAAAATTAATTAATTAATTAATTAGAATTTAATAATAATTTGTACCCTTTCTTGTTCTAATTCATTTTTTTCTAAGTCCAAACTTTTCAAGTTCTCAGACAATTCATCTTCTATTGATTCAAATTTTTCTTTCTTTTTCTCAATTTCTTGTCTTAACGATTCGTCTTCCTTTTGTAATTTTTCATACGTTTTATTCTCTTCAGAAACAGCATTCGTTGCTATTTCAATTTGATTATTTACCTTTAATAATTGTATAAAATTAACAATTTATGAATTTATTTATTACGGTAAACCTGTCTAAAGAGAAAACTGAATAAAATGGGAAAAATTTGGACCGGTTTATTATTTTACTGTATTAAATTAAAATAAATTAACCATTTCTATTTTAGAGTCTAGTTTTTCCATTTCATATTTGAGAGATGATATTGTTTTAAGTTGATTTGAAATTTCTTCTTTCAGTTCAATTTCTTTATTTTTCATGTTTTTTATATGGTGATTGAGGGAATCGATTTCGTGCTCTTCTTTTTTCAACCTGTCACAAAAATTTCCATATTTTTAAATAATTCGAATTTTTAAATTTTATGAATTATTTGCATCATACTTTCTATTTATTTCTTTCGTTTCTTCTCTATATTCTGCCGCAGTTTTTAATTTACTTAATGAAGTACCGCCTTCTTTCATTCGGAATAACTGATCTGCTAATATTTTTCCTTTATTTTGAGAAACGTCTAATTGCTAAAATATATTGAAAAACAAATAAAATCTTGTTCAAGGTTAGGAAAAATATGACGGATGAGAAGTAAGATATTAATGTTTAATTAGTTTTTAATAATAAATATTACGCAAACATTCTAATTTAGATTTTTAAATAAAAACAAAATATAATAATACTTTTTGAATATTACGTTAGTTTAAATATTAATTAAAAGTGCATATTTATACATTTAAATTAAGGGGACTCCATAATGGGTTTTATCAGGCCCACAATGGGATAGCAAGATGGTAAAGGATGGGGCTCGATATGTCCAGGATAGATCGCCCATGAAAAATTCCTGGGGTTTTTGCACTCTTGGATTTGATTACAGGTCTCTCAGAAGGGTAGGCTGACTTCCGCCTCGCCGTCTGGTCGCCTGTCCATCACACTTGTGACCTGGTAGAAAGGTTCTCTTAATGCCTATAGTATGGAAAAGGTTAAATCCGACCCCTCTGGAAATACACGTGACCTGTATCTCCTCGTTCCCTCCGTCTTCAATCACCAAAATTTAATAGCATCAATGCCCCTTATACAGAAGTATACAGAAGTATAAGGGGCATTGATGCTATTATGCTAAATTTCGTTTCTTAATCTTTATACCATCCTGAGATATTAAACGAAATATACTCCAACACACACACACACATATACTGTACAGTACAAACACATTCCGGATATCAGTTTTTTACTTTTTTGGGTTCAGAGCTGTCAAAACATTACGTTTCAAAAAACCCGGAAAGTCAAATGTAACACGATTACAATATTCTGTTATAACAGCTGGGAATGTAACCCATGTTACGTTAAAAAAGCCAGGAATGTAACCCATGTTACGTTAAAAAAAAACCAGGAATGTAACAAGAAAGTAAAAGTTTGAGATAATTACAATACTTCCAGTGTTATGTTATAACAGTCAGGGAAGTAAAAATAGAAAGAGAAATAGTTGAATGCAGTCAACAATTACATTAATATTACAAGAAATACCTTCTCTAATATTTGAATCTTCTCATTATCCCTTTCTCGAAGTCTATGAAGTTCTTTTAAGCGTTCTTGCTTGGTTTCTATTAATGCTTTTAGTTCCCGATTTTTGTTGAATACGAGAGTGTTATTGATTTTTAACATTTCTCTAGTATTAATTAATTCCTTTATCTCAGTATCCATTTCTTCAGCGGCCATTTTAAAAGTATTCTATTAAATAGAAAAACATAGTAAAACACTTATAACTTATTTTAATTATATTAAATCTGATGACGTTCTTTTAACTTCTATTCAAAGTACAATAATTGCTAAAATTAAAGCGAAGTCTTATACTTGTCTAGAAAGTTTTAGAGATATTATAATACGTATTGCAATTTATAGATTATATTACAGGAAAAACAAATCACAATAAAAGTAAAATACATCAGAACTATAAAGAAGTAACTTCTAAACTTGATGGAGAGACATTAATGCATTACGTGGCATACGGGCGGTCTCATTTCGTCTATTATGAATATAATAGAGTCGGATAGTGGGAGAGGAATGAGGAACTAAGCATTGACCTGAACTTCCTCATGGCAGTACGATATCTCGAGAATATCCGGCTGACCTTTCAGACCAGTACAAGAATATTTTTATTTTATTCCTTAATGAATAATTTTAATTCGTTTAATTTTATTTACTATTCTTATTATGTGAAATTGTATATGCTATATTTACAATATATATATAAACAACACCTGAATTAAATGGTTATACGAAGTTAAATTATAATAGCAATATGAATAAACAAGTTATTATATTTTCCAGAGTAAGAATGGAGCCTATATTCTAAATAAGGGGTGTCCAACCCGCGGACCGCGGGCCGCATGCGGCCCAAGGCAAGTTCCAATGCGGCCCAATAAACGTGTAAACAAAACCGACAAAATGTTTTAATTTTTATTATTATTTATCTATTTCAACGGCATAAACTCAAAAAAGAAGTTTCACAAAGCCGTAAACCTGTATTCATATTTTAGTTTTGAGTGGAAAGAAAATATTTTCAAATATTTGGAAATGTGTGAATGAGGAAGGATTACTAAATAAAGCTGGAGTTGTGACTCAAAGGATTATAGACCCAAATTTGGGAAAAGGAGGGAAAGATGAGAAAAAACAAAAGATGTAGTAGTGAGAAAGGTTAAATAGAACCCTTAATTTTTGAACCTTTCTCACTTTTTTATATTTTGCCCTTTCTCTCCTTTCCCTGCACTTGGGTCTATAATCCTTTGATTCACAACTACAGCTTTATTTAATATTTTTTCCAACGTTGCAAGATTTGGCTACATTGCGCCAAATGTGGCTACTTTTTTTGTTTGACGTAAAAATATCATTTGGCGCTTTGGCTACTTTTTGGGCTACATATTATTTACATTAGTTGAATAAAAATGCACTTTAAAATGGTGTTTCGTCGCTTTTTATTAATTAGAGATCCAAATATAACAAATATTTGTTTTTCAAATAAATTTCCGTTTGTCTCTTTTATAATAAATGAATTTATTAATTTCTAAGTAAAAATTGAAAGTGTCTGTAGAAGTAATTTTTAAAATATCCTTTTTTCTTGATAAAGTTTTAGTACTTATTTTTATAATCTAGACATGTTAATCCTTAAATATACTTGTATATTGGGCCACAAGTATATATTATATGTACTTGTGGCCCAAAACTCCTTGACTTCTTCCAATGCGGCCCAGAGAAACAAAAAGGTTGAACACCCCTG